TAATAACTTTTCATTATTTTTATTTATAATTATATCAACATTATAATAAATTTTTTAACTATTATTATTTAAAAAACTTTTATTCTTGTTACATAATAGCATATAAATATTGCCTATTATTAGTTATCAATTGTGTATTATTAAAGAAATTTTTTAATAAATATTTACCTATTATACATTTTTTTATAATTATCGGATTAAAAATAATATGGATATTTATTAAAAAAATATTAATTTTCTTTTCATATTACTTTATTAGTAGAAAGTAGTCGACGTTGAAGGTCTTCCAAGGAAGAAATCGTCGAAGTAATATCTTCCACATTTAAAATATCAATCAACAACAAATCAAGAGATTTGCTTTCTACTTAAAATAAACAGTATTGGCTCTTTATCAAATTTATAGCTCTTTTAGTGATCACCTGAACCAATCACCGCAGTGGTGTCGGGATTATTGGGTTCATTAGTTGAGAGAGTCGTGTTGCTTCTACGTATAAGTGATAATAATGAGAATAATAATAATGAATATTTATTTAAATATTATTTATTTTTTACTATTAAATTATTGTTTAACTATATTTCCTCTAAAAATACTTTTAAATTTATATTCATAAATAATTATAATAAATAAATATTAATATAATAACAATATAATACTACTTTTGGTTCTCACTAAAATTCTTCTCTAAAGTGGTTTCAGCTTCTAAATATAACAAAAAATAAAATTAACAAATTAAAGCAAAAGTAACAAAAAAATTAAATTTACTTTTTTAGTATACGAAATACTTTTATTTATACATTTTGTTTCTTTTATTTCTTATAACTTTCTTAAAAAAGGTCGGCTACTTTATTTTTTTAATGAAACATTTTGTGATTTGCAAAAATGAAATAAATATAAATATAATAAATAATACCAAAAAAGTTAAAGATAACTTATTTAGAAAAAAGTAATAAAAAACTTTATTTATAATATAAATGAAAATATAATTGATAACTTTCAACAAATATAACAAAAAAGTGTTAAAATAAATTGTTAATAAAAAAAATGTTTATATAATAATATATATTTACTTAAAACAGAAAAGTTACATAATAACAAACTATAAAAAATTATAAAATCTAAGTTAATTGCTGTTAACAAAAACATATTTTTTAATGAAATAACTATTATTATTTTTTATAACACTTTTATTTATTTAAACAGTCACGCATAAATCTGGCTAATTAGCGAAAGAGCGAAAAAGCTCAACGACGTCTAGTTCTAATAACCATTAGCCCATCCAGTCAAAATTTTTATTATAAAATACAAGTATAAGAAATATGTATACAGTAAGCCAAAAAGTAAAATGTTTTTAATATACATGAATAGAAATAATAAATTTTCATTATTTATAAATAAGAAAAAGTTATATAATATATATATTTACTATATGCGGAAACTGAACAAAAAAGTTAAAAACTTATTATTGCTATATTAAAAATATTTATACAAATTATTTAAAACACATTCGACAATTTTGAAACGAAGAAAATATTTATTAAATATATTTATGAGCAGAAATAAAATACTAAAGCATGAAAGTTAACACATCTTATTGTCCTATAAAAAAAAATTATAATGTATTTATAACACTTCAACAATAGTACAAAGAAAGTATAAAAATATACACTTTCATAATAAAAATTATATACATTTATATATACATAAAAGCACTAAAGCGTAACGCTACATATAAAAAGTTTTTAAGAACATAATAAAAAACTTGAATATTAAAAATAAAAAAATAAAGCTTAACGCTACATAAAAAATATTTTGTAATGAAAACTTTTTACAGATATTTATATAAAAATAAATACCTAAAAGTATAACAATACATAATAAAACATTTTTTCTTATAAACAAAAACTATATATATATATATATTGATTTATAAATGAAAGAACCAAAGCAAAACGTTACATAAAATTATAAGTGTAATCTAAAATAAAAATAATAAAACATAAAAGTAGAAACTTTTTATCGCTCTATGATGTAATATTTTATAACAATTTTTAAAGGGCTCATAATAATAATAATAATATATATTACCGCCTAAGCCAAGCTCTATGCAAAGAATTTTATGATAAGAATAAGATAAACCCTTCAACTTTTCAAGCATTTTCGGTCCAACTTTGCTATAACACTAAACAGTTATAAAATTATAATAATGAAAAATATAATTATAACCAATAATTAAATAAATTAAAAATATTATTATAGTAACAAATTTTATTATCATAATAAACATATAATAATAATAACTTAAAAAAGTAAAAATATAAGGTTTACGAAGATTAAAAAAAGTAATAATAATAAACAGTATAATTTTTATTATAAATATATTAATAAATAATAATCATAAATAAATAAACTTTTTTAAAAAAAGAAAAAACGGAACGCTTCACACTTTTATCTTCAGAGTCAAATGCAAAAAGAAGAAGTTCCAAAAAGTTTTTAGGAAGAATAGTAATTCCGTACTTCTCAAGAACGCCCTCCATTTCCTATAAAAATAAATATAAATAGTAAATAATAATAATAAAAAGAAATATTATCATTATTTATTTCTGTAAATAATATAAATATAAATAAAATTTTATAATAGCCGTAATATAAATTTTTTATGATTAGTATAAAAACTTTTTAATAACTTTTGTATTCCATATATTTATTTTTTTAAAAGTATATAAAAAGTTCATCATATTAATAAAAAAAAATTTATATTTGATATAAAACTTTATAAACTATATACTTTCATTAATATTAACATAAAAGTCATAATAATAGTATTAATATATTCATATATGTTGTGGCTAAAAAAAATGCCGGCTTCTCATTAATGATGCAGTAATATAATATTAGAATATAAAGTATACTGACACAATAGCGCTATTTACCAGTGTATATATATATATAAGGCGGCCTCCCCCCGATATTGTGTCCATAAAGTATACTTTAGTAAATAGCACTATTGTAACAACGTTTCGTTATATGTTATTATACAACCATTGCACTATATATTAGAAGCAAGAACTTATTAATTTAGCCAAAATACCTCAGCCAAAGAGTATCTACGTCTAATATATAGATACAATTTTCGGAAAGTAATACCAGAGCACTAACTAATACAATACAAATAATGTATCACTGACGAGATAAAGCACCAATAGTGCAACTTATGATTGCTCGCTGAGGTAGCCTTTTAACTCGTGACGCTTGAGTCAAATACTGGAGTGCACACCCATAGCTATCATCCGGAACTATTCGCCTCTGTTAAGGTGCAGTATAAAATCTCGCTTAACCCACCCAGATGCTTCTCATTAAAAAGTGAAACAATGGAAGCTCAGAAAAGGCCCAGCCGGATCAACGAGGGATGATAGATATTTATATGATTCAAAGATCAAAGGACGGACACAATCCGGCTAGTATATCAACAACAGATGCAAGAGATGACACAGAACAAATCCTAGAATCTTTTATTGTCAAACCGTAGGAAACCTGGAAGTATAACACAATTTGTCGAGATCACATGTAAGCTAGAACCTGCCTAAGATGAATAACTATAGCACTAGTATTAAAATAGTCGTTAAATTATGAATATATTTATATAAAGTTAATTTAAATAGTATTATTATATTTAAGTTTGTTATAAAAATTATAAATATATTAATATTTAAAATTTATATGAATCTCATAATAATAATAATATCAACTGAATATTTATTATAAGAATTAATAAATATCTGTTTTGATATAGTCATTAATTTCATAACTATAATATTGATATTCTAATACTTATTATAAAATTATGGATATTTATATTATGATATTTAATAAATTTTCTTATAATAATTTAATATTTATAGTGATAAATATTTAAATAGAATTTTCTTTAAAGTTCTATATTAATGCCATAATAATAAAAGTATTATTTTTTATAGATATTCGTTACAAAAATATATATATATTCATATTTATAAAAATTTAATGTAAATAAAAGAACTAACTTTTTGATAGTGCTATAGTTAATAATTATGATAATATAAAAATAAGAAGAAATAAATAAATAACATTATACCTCAAAGCAAAGTTTTCGTATAAGCATTTTCTCCGACTTTGCAGCTTCCAGAAGAAGAAGAAAAACTTTATTAGAGGGATAACAACTACACAACGTGCGTAGCAAAAGTTTAGCTTTTTCGCAGGTAGAAACGTCTTCAAACTTTAAAATATATATAAAAGTTAATAATTATAATGATCAGAGAAAGTTTTAAGATAATATATGAATGATAATAATAGAAATACATTATTAATAAAAATAGTAATAAATATTGGAAACGGATAAATAATAATGAAGAGAAAAATATTTAAACAAAGATTTTCAAATAATTATAATATTAAAGAAAAAATTTATATTTTAAAAAGTAAAATAATTAATAAAAAAAGGTTCATAAATAATAATTATAATATGATATAAAAAAGTTTTCAGAAAATATAATCGCTTAAGAGATTTATTTATATAAACTATAAAGAAATTTATTTTTCAAATAATAAAATAAAAAAGTTTTAAGAAAATATAATCGCTTAAGAAATTTATTTATGTAAACTATAAAGAAATTTATTTTTTAAATAATAAAATAAAAAAAGTTTTAGTATAAGGTTTATCGATAATAATAATAAAGTATTAAAAATAATATTAATAATAATAAGAAAACTTTTTCAAAAAGCGCTCCAATAAACAAAGAAATCTGTTGATCGCTGAGCCGCCCGCCAAAATAAGAAGTCCAGTTCAAAAGGCTTTCTAAAAGTTCAAGTGCCTTAATATATTCACAATTATAATAGTAATAACAGTAATCTTTTTATTGGAGAGAAACTTTATTATAATTATTATTACTATATTTTAAATAAATACCTTTAATATTTTTCAGTATACATACTTTCTATAATAATTTCTCTTAAATTTTATTATATAACAATGATAGTAGCAGTAATTATGACCCTTTTATTGTATAAAAACTGTACTATTATTATGATTTGTTAAAGAAAAACCTTTTTACGAATTTATCATCTGATACTATGCTTATATAAAGATCTTTTGAATTTTATTATATAATGATAATAGCAATAATTACTCTTTTACTGTATTTAAACTTCTATTAATATTACATTACAGATAAAAACCCCGTTAGAATTTTCATGTTCTATACTTTTTATGAAAAGATTTCTTTCAATTTTATTATCAATAGCATCATTATACTTTTATATATAACTTGTTAATACTTAATAATAAGAATAAATACGCAATTAATATACATTTATTATTTTAATAAATTTAATAAAAATTTTCTTAATAACTTTATTTGAATAATTTTAACATAAAATTTTTTATAAAAAAATTTCATAATGGAATTATTAATATAATATTTTTAAAACAATAATAATATTTGTTTGAACAAAAATTATCATGATTGAATTTCAAAGAAAACTTTAATAAATTATTATTATTCAACTGTTTATTTTTTATTTATTTTATAAAAATTGGTTAAAACTTTTATTATTTATATATTAATAAAAAAAATTAATATTTTCAACTTATTTTTATAATTTTTATTAATATAATTACTATTATTTTATATTATATATATTATAAAACTTTTTTACTTTTAAATGAAGCGGCGACGAGGGAAGTGTTAAAAGCCAATTTGCATAATATAATAAAAGAGGTAAACATTTGACAAGAGCCTATAAAGAAAAATTTTAAAGAATAAAAAAATAATAATTATGAATAGTTTATTACTTAAAAAGATATTATATCACTTTTTTTGTTACTATTGTAAAATTATTCTATTAGACATCACTAAATAAAAAAATATCTTTGTATAAAAGTAAAAATTCTGTATAAAACTTTTTAATAAATAAACAACTTTATTATTCTGTTCAGAAGAACATGCTTCACATAAAGTTTGCAGCCCTTCTAACTTTTCTCTATTGGCTTCACTAAAAAGTTGGTAAAAAAGTGCCTTAAAAGTAGAAAGAATATAAGTGGAGAGTCTTAGTAATAAAAATAATATATTACACGTTGCACGCATTGCAACATCAATTTTTTCAACAAATTAACATCAACTGAATGGTGATGGGATACAATAATGTCGAATGAGATGCTGCTATCGTCTGGATCAAACACAAAAACCCTCATATCAGAGTTAGAATTTTCAAAAGCGGGTTGTTTCATTGGCTTAGACTCTACTAATGGCCAAGCATGCGGAATCTGCTCTTCATTAGTTAGAGAATGGTATTGGCAAGTGATCGTTTCGGGCTCTTCTGACGATGCCGTTGTATTTTCGGGGGCTGACGGACGCGTGGAATAAGAGAGTTTTGATTCGTTGGGAGAAGACTAGCAAAAAAATTAAGGAAAAAAGTTAATATCTAAACTTTTTTTAACTGCTATCAATATTAGTATTTATATATATTAAGAGTTTTAACAGAAACTTCAGAGCCAGATTTTGCTTTTTCCAAAAGAGAAAGTGCATATGTTATAGAAAACTTGCTGATTGGCGCTGTCTCAACTTTACTTTTTATACTGTTTTGTAAAGTGTTATGCAGGTAAACTTCAACTACACTAAATATGAAGGAAAAAAAACCTTTCATAATTCAAATACTTCATAAAAATAGAAAGCAACGTGCCCGCCTTTTTGCGTACGTCGGCGTTACGGTCCTTGCAGGGTAGTACAGAATTAAAGGTAAAAAGAATACGTAGGTATTTATAAAAAAGGTAAAGTATATGATACGCAAAAAATGTACTCTTATTGAATCAATCAACCATTCATATAAAGGAACCTCAAAACAGTGAATAACAGGGGCCAATAGCTGAGAAGCGGTCTCAGTCAGAGCTTTACTTGAAGGCTTTTCTGAAAAATAAGATGAAAGCCAGCAAAGTAGTTCCGCACGAAGAAGAGGTTGAGGTTGTAAAAGTGCTTTTGAAAAGTCTTCATTCCCTTCGTTTTTTTTAAATATTAATAATATAAATGAATATTAAAAATAATAATCAACAATAATTAAATAAATATTATAATTAACAATAATATTAAAGTATGTCAAGTATTATATAATAAAAGATACGCAGTAAATATTAAAAAGTACATATAAAATATAAATAATATATAAAATAACACAAATCGTTCACTAATATACTCAACAGCAAGAAAAAATATAAAGTAATAAGGTATAAGAGATAAAGCGTACTAATGATATATATATAAATTATTATAATGTACGTTAAAAATAATGAATGGATATTAAACAATAGTTAGTGGCAGTGATAGTGATAATTAAACTTATACCCAACAAATTTTCTAAAGCTATTTCATTGGATATTGCGGTTAATACTTTTAGCGCCGCTTCTCTAACGTTTGTTTTGTTATCGCTGAGACAATTCTCATAAAATAATGAAAAGTAAGTTTTTCATAAAAAATAGAAAAAGTTTAAAAAAAAAACACCACAACAATATTTAAATTTAAAAAGTTGCAAAATGAAGTTCCATTCATACCAAAACAGCAGGTATGTATTTTTTGGTATATTTTGTAAAAGCAGAGCCCAATGAGTGCACTTGGTTAAAAGAGCATAATTATAAAGAGATTCAATCCCCAAAAATTTGGTCATACCCATATCACCAAGCACGTGGAGAGCCAAAGCAACTTGGTTCTTATTTGTATCAAATAGTCGTGGATACTGGCATGTTAAAAAAATTGTGTAATTACTAACAAGCAGCAAATAATAATATCAAGTGTTCTGGTAGTAAATACCTTTATCGGTACAAAAAACAGTGAATAGAACCCAAATTACTTACCAAAGTTTCTGGTAGTTCTCCTATGTTCGCTTCCACGCAAAAGTTGGCCTTTGCGAAAACTTTTTGAAGCTAAAAAAAATATTTGTTATTATAAAATTAATATAAAAAACCTTTTCTTACTATTAATTTATTATTTTTTATAACATCAAAAAATATTTTATATTTTTTGTCTTTTTAATATTTATAAAAAGTATATTAATAAAAATATTTTATATGTTCTAATAGAAATTGAAATAATATAAGTAATGAAATTTAAGAAACCTTGAGCATTCCTTCGTTCCGCGTGCGCCAATTACTATCTTTTAAATCTTTTACTATTATAAAAATAAATAATATAAAAAATATATAAATAATAGTACAAGAGCAATATCACTACACAAAAAAACTTGAAAAATCATAATAACAGTAATGATAATGATAATATACAAATATGTTCTTTTGCTAGGAAGCCTCGAATATCCGTTCTTGCCGCTTCCACAGTAGATATTGTCTCACTAATGGTGGAAATGAAACAATAAATTGGTGAAAAAGCAAAAAAATATTATAGATTGGCTACTGTGTACGTCATTAAAGTCGCAACAAAAAAATTATTTAATGTAAAATAATAAGAAAAGTGCAAGACTATATAAAAACTGCAAATTTTTTAATGATTTTAAGATATGTAAACGCTTATTGAAAAATATTTATAAATATATAATACTGTTATAAAAAAGTTTTTAACTAATAAATTGTTATTACTTTAATATAATAAAAATTATTTATTACTTTCATTAATATTATTATCATAACTATTATTATATCAATTAAAAAACACTTTTCCATGTAAAATATAGTTTTTGTTATAGATTTACTCTACTAAAAACTTTTATAAAAGAGATATAAACTAGTAAATTACTATAATAAAAGTTTTTCATTACTTTTTTAAAGATTACCATCATAACTTTTATTTTATTAATAAAAAAATAATACTGTTCCATATAAAGTAAAATTTATGATTATTATTATTGTTGATCATAGATTTTTTAAAACACATGCTTTTATTAATACTTCAATATAACAATTGCTATTACTTTTAATATAACTTATAACTAAAAGTATAGATATTGATCTGTATATAATCATTATATATACAAACCAATACCTGCCAATGTAAATATACTTATTTTTATAATACATATACTTATTTATTTATTTAATATTAAAATAATTATAAAAATTTGTATTGGTTTGAAAATTTTTTACAGTTTGCGTAAAAGTTTCTTATTACGATCATATGAAGTTAAAAAGTTTTAAAAAAATTGTTTTCTATTTACTTTATGTATATTTACGAATAATAAATTTAATTATTATAATATTTTATAGTAATTATATATTTTTATTAAAGTCTTCTTTAAAGAAATATACTTTTCATATATTTGCTAATAAAATATTGGATTCACTATTATTATATTTTATTTTTGTAATAGTTTCAGCTAACAGTTTTCTTTAAATATACAAAAAAGGTTATTATTAAATGAATACAAGAAGAGTTGTTTTTATTTATTATATTATATATTATTTATAAAATTCACGTAATGAAATTATAATTATAATATTATTCCCAGTAATATTTACTGGCTTTATTGGTTTAAATGTTTCCCTAATAAATATCTAAGTTTATTATTGCTTTTATATAAAGTAAAAGAAAAGAAAGAAAAAGTTTTATATTTATTATATTTAGAATTCATAAATAATATATATTTTCTATTTAAAATTTTTCTGGCTTTATTAATGTTAAAGTATACTTTCATAAATATTCATTTATTATTATTTTTACATGACGTAAAACAATTAAAAGAAATAAAGGTTTTATACTTATATTAAGTCATTTGCTATTATGTATAAATTTTACTATAATATACTATATTAAAAGTTCCCCTGTACGTATATATAAGTTTATTATTACTTTCATATTAAGCAAAACAGATAGAAAAGAAGTTGTTTTATATTATTATATATATCAGTAAAATTTACTCTAAATATATTTTAAATTCATTATAATTTTTTAAAACTTTATATTCCCTTATTTCTGTGATATTATTATATATAAAACAATAATAATATATATATAAGTTTTAATAAGTAAATATATTTCTTTTATATATATTTTTCACTCTCATAAAAAATAAAATATTAAGTAAACTTTATTTAATGTATGTTTTCTTTATAAATATGTATATCACTAAATATCATTTATATAAACATTGATATGAATTTTAATTATTATTCTTCTAATAATAAAGTTTATAACTTTTATACATAATAAATATTACCAAAGAGTATTTCTTTCATATTTATTATTTCTTTTCATTATTAATGTAAAAAAATTATAGATGAGTTATTAATATCTTTAACAATTTTATTATTATTATTTTGTTAAAAGTAAATTCTTATAAAAAGTTGTCATAATAAATACTTTTCTGCAGGAAGAAAGTTTTCGTTTTCTATTTTTCTAGTGGGCTTGGGGGGGAGCATACCGGAAACCTTTAAAAAAAATAATGATAGATAAGTAGATGAGCTTTTATTACAAAGTTTAATGACTTTTTTATTAAGTTTAAGGAAAATTTTTAATAACATAAAGTTTTATTATTAATTATTATTATTATTATCACTATTATAAATATTATTATTATAGTATCACTACTAATTTGTTTTAAAAGTAAAAACTTCCAACAATAATTTTTCTTACGCAGAATACAGAAATGATATCTTCATAAATATTTAAAAAAGTTTAAAGAAAATATTTATTATTTTCTTTGAAAATTGAGACAATTTCCATAAAATTTACTGATTAATATATTATTTTAAATTTTATTAAAACGATCCTTACTACTAATAATAAATATATACTCGCATAATTTTCTTTACTTTAAATATTTGAAACGGTAAATCTTCCACATAATAATAAATAAATAAAAGTTTAGTTAATAAAGTAAAAAATAATAAAATATTTTAAAAAGGATAACCTTGGAAAATTCTGATTGCAACGTTAACAAAAGAGGAGACTTAACTTCCTGGAATTTTACTTCTATATGCGCTCCAGCTAACAAACGCAATATCGTGCAAAACTTTACAGCTTCCTTGCGAACAATAGGATTGCTATGGCATAAGCAGCTCTAATAATAATAGTAGTGGTTAAAAATTAAAGATAAAAAAGTTTTTAGTAGCTTAATCAGTGAATTATTATATATAATAATATTAATAATAATAATAATGATTATAATAAAACTTAATTATTATAATTAGTTTTTGGTATATCGATATATTAATTTTTATATATAATAATATCAATAACAATAATAATAAAAGTTAATAAGTAATATGTCTGTATAGTTTTTAGTATCTTTTATTTTTTATATTAGCGTCAAGTACTGTGAAGGAAGCTTCGAAAGAGACCCTCAAGGGAGTGGCAAAGGTCTGTTGATAAACCCATAGAATAACCGGAAAAGCACTGCAACGTTATACCACAATCCTAATACACCAATCACTAAAGCACTTAGGAAGTAACCATACTTTTTACCGCCTCAGTAACGTTATCGTTCGAAAAAGTACCGGATTATTCGTAGTATTATACCATTTTATAACTAATAATTATAATGAAAATTAAAAAAAAATAAAAAAAAGTTTTGGGTACTTTTGTTTTCTTTATTATAGCTATAATAAAAGTGGTTAATAAATAAATTTATATTAATAAAAAAGTAATAACAGTTTTCTTTAAAAAAAAGTTATGATAAAATTTTTTTATGAAACATATAATTTTATAAACAATGAAAATACTAAATTATTAGTTAATAATAAAAATTATAAAAAGGTTTTTTTGTTTTGTAAACTACGTCAGTAAAAGTAGTTAATAAATTTTTATAAATAAAAAGTTTTCCTTAAAAAAAGTTAAAATAAGATAATAAAATTTTTTCTGTAATCACTACTACAAGAAAAGTTTTTAAAAATAATCTTTTAATGCTTTAATATACAAATAACGATAATACTAATAAAAGTTTTTCTTAAAAAAAGTTTATAAATAACGTATAGAAGTTTTAAGGCATTCTTTTGTTTTATTTATTACGACTAAAAAAGTGTTTTATTAACAAAAATAGAAATTATAATAATAATAAGAATAAATAGTTTTCCTTCAAAAAAGATAAAAAATATACAAGTTTTTAGTTTCTTTTGTTTTTTTTAATTCTACTATAAAAAATTGTTCAATCAATAAAAAATAGAAATAATAACAATAATATTAAAGATTTCAGAATTTTTTATAAAATTTAAGCTGAACAATAAAAAATATGATGATCATGAAACACGTAAAAAGCAGTAAAAAGAAGTATAATTAAATTTAAAAATATAGCAAATATTATTTATATTCCAGTATTTCTTAAGCTCAATGGCTGTAAATATAATAATAAACAAAACCAGGCAGAAAACGCACGCCTTTTTCGTGAATTCATTTTAAAATGGATATAAAATAAAGGCGTACATGCAGTGCATTGGCCAATAAAATTAGATCATTAAATTATTTGTAAAGTATAAAAAAGGCAAAGACAATCCAATCAGATTAAGTCTGGCCGTCATGTATAGCATATATTTTCCAGCTCTATTCTACGAAGCACACGAGGAAGTCATTAACTTGCAATATCTACTTCTCAAATTTGAGTGGCTAATTCAAATTTAAGTAGGCTTATTGGCTGCCTCTTGTAGAGATAATAATACCAGAAATACAATAAATTCTGAAATAATAAAAGAGCCCATTATTTTTAGTGCCTTTTGCGTCCATAAATATGCAATAATAATTTGCTGGGATTGTTAATAGTATTTAAATTTTTATGAAAAATTTCACACATTTTTGTTGGATATAAATTTAACAATTTCTAGATAAATAAAAAGAAGAATTTTTTAATATAAAAAAAGGCGGGCGACCCAAAAGAGTTTTATTGACGGAAGTAATTCGATTCAGCTGTTTACCCCAAAAAATTGAAAGCATGTGTGCGAAGGATGAAATAACGAAATCACCCAATAAAAAAGCACTAATAAGCCGGTTGAAAATACAGACTTCCAATTAGTCGTAAAAAAAATCTCTTTAAGCCATATGATTGGCCACGCCGCGCTAGTAAAAAGAGTGAGTAGCGACGGTAATGAGGATCATATAAAAAGTTTATAACAATAGAAAAAAATCTTCATGCTTTTGCTATAAAAAGTTTTTTCCCCGTAATGTAAAATAATAAATAACAAACTTCACTAACTTTAATCAGAATACTACTAAAAAAAGGCTCTTTTCCAGTAAACAAAGTGAACAGCGATAACTGGTTTTAATTTTTTAAAGAACTACAAGTAAACACTAAATAGTATTATATAATACTATAAAAGATTTACTGTTAAAATAAAACTTTTTTTTATAAGTATAATAATAATGAGCTATTCTTTAAAAAAAGGATCAAAAAACTTGTAGGTAGCATGATTGGTTCTTCAAAGCATATTTCTCTGGTATGAAATTTCATAGTTTTCACAATATTATAACTTTTCTATTATTTACTTTTTGTATAATATTTATATGTTTTAATATTTATAAATTTATATAAAAAAGTTAAATAAATATGATTAACAAAAATAATCTCATAAATAAATATAGAAATAGTAAAAAATAGAATTATTGTGGATAATACATATTTTAAAATAAATAAAAATATATATTAAAAAAACTACAGAAAACTATATCTGGTCAGCTTGATTATAAAATATTGAATAACTGAAATAACAATCAATTTTTTTAATGAAATATTAATATATTGCAATATATATGTTACATATATATATATAAAGAAAAGATCGGTACAAATAAATTTTCAAAAAAAAATACGTAAAATAATAAATAAATATTATAAAAAAATAATAAAAAATATAATAAACTCTTATAAAAGTAATATTAATATAGTATTAGTATAATTATTTATAAGAATACTATTACTAGAATTTATATATTATTATCACTTTACCTTCGCAAAGGATATGCTTTTATCCAAATTTAAAAGCAGTCCGAACTCTTGAATAGTTTCACTCAACCATATTAAACTTTCATAAAAATTATATATATAAATATAAATATATAATAGCAATTACTAAAATAATTGAAGGAGAGTAAAAAATATTATTATAAAAAGTAAAAGAAGCAACAGGAAGAAAAAATAATAAATTTTTAATCTTTATAATGATTGAAATATTAGAAGTTTCGTAAAACTATCCATTATAATGAAACTGTACTAGATTATACACAAGAGTATAGTATAATAAAGTTCTTAGAAATTAGTGGTTGTCACAATTATATTACTATTAGTGCACGGAAAAACAGTGAATATTATTTATTTTATATATATAAATATTTATGCTTTTATTTTATTATTAAACTTTAGTATTTATTTAAAAGTATTATATACCATAAAAACTTTGATTATTATTATTATTTGCTATTAAAGTTTCTTAAAACATCATTATAATAATATAATAATTAATATATACTCTTTTATTTTTTTATTCATTAAAAAAATATAAACCAGTTAGATAAAACTTTGGGATTCTTATGGGCCAGCGCGCTGCCATAAATTTTTTCAAACACGTGGCTTAATGAGGTGCGCTCGCACAGCAGCTTTAGAATTTCTCCTGCGGCTTTTCCATTCTGTTTTGGGTTTTAAATTTTTATAATTATTGTCTTTGTTGTTGTTGGGTAAAAGAAGCAAAAAAAGAATGAAAAGAATATTATTACCTACAATATATATATAATGAAAAATAAGTAATAAATATATATGTAATAGATAATAATATATGGATGATTTCTTTCAAAATTTTATAATCCTTTTGAAAAAGTATAAAAATAATGATTACACATTTATATAACTTTTTTCTTTATAGCTTACTATCAAAAACTTTTTTTATACCGCTCAACTATTAGTTCAATTATATAAGCAAAAAATATTGCGAGCATTTCATAAATGATATTAATAGCTAAAAAAAAATTACATAAAAGTTCGAGAAAAAACTTTTATAATACAATTCACCTTCATATCGGGAAGCTTATCTAGCACAGCCTCGCAAATTACCGAGACTGATTGGATAGTCACCTTGCCCGTTTTAAAAAGTTGCAATAAACACTGTAAAAGAGTACCGGCAACCTATAAAACAACAATATAACATATTGAGTAGCAGTTTTTATTATAAATAATAGAAAACCTGAAAGTTTGTATCTTTTATATAATGAATAATATAATGAGCAAAAGCTTGAAGAGGTAATCGACCTGAAAAAAATAAAAAATAAAAAATAATGAATAATTAGAATTAGTGTATAATTAATAATATTCATAATGTTTTTTACTAAATAAATAAATAATGACAATAATAATAATATACAGTAAAAAATAAGAATAATGATAATTATATCCAAGAAAAACTTAGTAGTAATAACAAATAAGAAATAGTAAATAATAATATTTTCCTATTATATAAATTTAATAATGATAATGTACTTAAAAAATATATTCTATAATAATAATATACCGATAAATAATTGATATATAAAAAAATGAATAATGGCGTAACCAAAAAAGGTTAAATAAGTTTAAAAAATGGTATATTTCGTTTCTATTTATATCAATACATCCAAAATATTAGTCATTGTAAATACTTTTATTATTAACTAAGTAATTTATTATAGTTATTTCATAATTTTCTGTGCATATCTCCATCATATTAATATTTGCTATTTTTTGTTTAAATTATAAATATTTAAATATATTATTTCCATCTCAAGAATTTTTTTCAATTTTATTAAAAAATATAAATAAATATAAAAGAATTAAACATATTTGAAATGATAAATAAAAAAAATTACTAATAAAAAATAAAATAGAAAAGTCAAATAAAGTAAAATAATATCAAAAACAAAAGAATGCAGCAAAAGAAATAAGGAATAATAAAAACAACATATTGAAGGCTAATAATAATATTGTAATAAAAAAAAAATAATTATAATAATAAATATAAAGAGCCATAGAAAATAATGAACGGGTCTTAGCAAAGAGGCTCTTCTTACTTTGCACGGAATTCTCTAAAAACTTTAGCAACTCTTTCGAGGCTTCGTAGCGTTCCTTCCAAAGTTTGCTGTTCAGTCCAGTTTTGATAGAAGCGGGAATAGTAGAGTCCACTATTATAAAAGTTATAATTATGCTGAAATAAAAAATAAACATAATAATTATTATTGGCCAACATATTCTCATCGCCTCTTCAGCCTGCAATAGCTGTTCTTCGGGAAGTTTTGGTTTCTTATGTAACAGAATAAAATGGTTTGTAACAATAATAATATAATGAATAACCTTATCATAATCAATAGAGTTTGACGAGCAGCTTTCCTTAGTAACGCTTTGTTTTCCTTCGTTAACTTTTTTGTTGGATACAGGACGTTTCAAACTGTCCGTCTTAATAGAAATTTTGCTTGCAAGTTTGGGGGCCAAGCCGCTTAATGCAGGCTTTTTAGCCAAGTGCTTTTCTTTAGCCGGTAACTTGGTTGCCGGCTCCTCTATAAATGCACGGGACTTTTTCAAAATATATTCATTAAAAAAAAGTACAAAATTGTTACTGATAAGTTTTTGGGGAACATTCCTCATAACATTTTCGTTTTTCATTCCTTTAACAACTTTTTAAACAATTTTATTATAGTAAAAAATTTATATCATTAAAAAACTCTCACTGCCTTCATATCAACCTGCTTTATCGCTGAACTCTTTCACTTTAGCAGTTTTAATAGTGTCCAACTCTTTAAGATACTTTGAAAGAGCTGCCTCCCCAAAAAGTTTAATAAGAGTTCCTATGAAATATTCATTATTATTACTATATATTATCAGTAGTAGTGGTAGTAATTTTAATGAAAGACAAATATATATACGAGATCAAAAATACAATGACAATATTATTATAGTAAAACTCTTCTAGCAAAGTTTCATGAATTTTCCTATTGGTCAAAAAATTGAAAATAAAGTATTTTTTTTAATATAATATGAATTTATGAAGCAATCAGTGATGTCTATAAAGTGCCCAACCGATTTACATTGCATCATCACATTCGTTACAATTATATTGGAGCACAATATAAACCAATCACAGTATATGTTAAAAAAAGAGTCAACAGTAACTCTAATTTACACATTCATTATTATATTTGATGTAAAACGAATTTAACCAATAATAAGGCTTTTAGTTTTTTTTATGGGGAAAACAATTAAGTTTTCACACTAAATAATTATACCAAAAGTTTGCATGGCACTTCCCCGAACTTCCGGAGTGCTGTCATTCAAAAGCTATAAGTGAAAAATATTTTTATTCATTATCATTATCATTACTCTTATCATTATGATAGTAGTATTTTTTACTTCTCCATGAAATATATAATTATATTTTAAGAAAATTCATAAATTAAACTGATTATTTCATATTTTAAGTTTCATTAGAGAAACGGAACACCATTTATTGGTTCCATTATTTCACTTAATATAAATATTTTAAAAACTTCTTCAAAAACCGAAAAGATTACTTTTACTACAACAACAAACAAATTTATACATAATATTCGTAAACAAATATATTTATTAAAAGTTTTATATAATATTCTTATCAAGATACTTTTTGCAATCACTAAAATATTAGAAAAATGCTTAACAGTCAAGTGTAATCGACTATTGGTTATTATTTTAACTTACTTGCTGTAAACACAAACAAAGTTTATCCCGAAAAGTAGGCGGAATGGGCTTATCAACAGAACAAAATATTCTATTAATAATAAATAAATAAATTATAAAAATCAACAACTTTCTTTATATAATAATAGATAAGTAACGGTACGTCTTCGTAAAAAAATTATAACTTTTTTTATAACAATAATGATAATGAATTTCAATGTTAATAATAAATATATGAGAATAATAATTACAAATTTTGATATATATAAAAAAATAATAACCACAACGCTTTTTATATTATAATGATGAATAAATAAATTATAATCCTTTTATATAATAATAAATAATAAAAAATAAAGATTACAAATTTTTATATATAACAATAATAATATAATAACTTTTTTATACAAAAAGAATAAAATATTTTAAATTCTTTTATAAATAATAAAAAAATAAAAAATACAGATTTCATTAGATAACTAATGATAATCACAACTTTTCTATATAATGATAATAATAACGAATAAACAATTAAATAATGAGTATTAGAACTTTCTTTTACTTAGTTATAGTATTGAAAGTACCTCGTAAGAAAATCACAACTTTCCTTCCTCACATTAGGATTTCTATGGCTCAGCCCACCTTCTATGCAAAGCTCAAGCACTTCGCTAATCTCCGCCTTTTTTTTGTATATAAAAAAAATATTAATAATAAAATTTAACTTTATATAAAAGCTAAAATATTATAAAAAAATTGAAATATTATAGAAAATTTTGAATTAAGTTTAGCATTACTGTGAAGTAAAAAAAAAGTTTTCATACCACTTCATAAATAGCATCCAAGGCGCAACGTAAAGGCTCTAAAACGTTTTTCTTTTTTTCTTTGCATTTATCAAAAATGCAAGGAAGTAACTAACAAAAATAATAATTAAAAGAAATAATGTTAATATAAATAATAATAGTAATGCAGCTGAACATGTTCTTTCCCAAAAGTTGTTTAGCCCAAAATATAGCAAATTATAGAATTTTTACAGCTAATAATTCACAATTCGCAAGTATTTACACACTCTTATGCACTTTCTGAATGACTGTCTTGAAAATAGCGCATTTATATTACTTTTTTTTTTAAGAATTTTATTATTATCCTGTTCACCATATAATGAAATAATAACAAAGTAAAAGTTTAATAATATTACTTATATATAAAATATAAATAATAAGTAAAAATAAAAAAAGCCTAGATATGAAATACTAACGAGTAAGCCATAGGAAGAAAAGGCAGTTCCCAGACCTTTAGCAAGAGCAGCAACGCAGTTTAACGCAGAAATAGAAACATTCACATTCACATCAACGAGGCACTTTACAGAATAATAATAGCAATAAAAAAAAATCTTCACTATTCATAAAAATAACTCTAAAAATACTTCTTTTAATGAAGTGGCCAATGGAGTGAAGTCGCCCTGCTTTAGCCTTTTATTGGTTACTTTTTTAGTCAATTCCTCCAATGCGTCGCGTTTTAGTGACCATTTTTTTTCTTTCTTTTATCGTTATGATTGCATGAAGATAAAGAGGGAAAAGTTATATACAAATCAGAAAGCTCAACAAAACTTCAAAATAAATAAAATAATAAAAAATAATATTAAGTAATACTTTTTATAAAAGTATAGATTATCAGACTATATTTTATTTAGTATAAAACTTTAATAATTTTTTTAAGAAAAATAATAAAAAGATATACTTTAAAAAAAAGTAAAATATTAAAGAAAATATTATATTTAATATAAAAAGGTATAATAAAAAAGTGATAAACATAAACAATATACTATGTTTGTGAAATAGTTATTCAAGTTTTGAAGGATATCAATTTCCTCCAAAACTGCTGCCCTTGCTTATATATTAATGTGTAAAAAAAAATAATTAATGTTTAAATATAAAAAATAAAAAATAAATATAATAACTTTAGGAACAAGTTATAAAAGTTTCTTTTCTTAAATATTATTTATTAATACAAATTATCGAATACAAAAAACTAAAAGAGCTTTCAAAAAATTTCCAAAAATATTATTATAAATAGATAAATTCTAAAAGATAAAGTAACAAAAGTTATTTTACTTTGGCAATACTTCAAAGACAAATATTAAAGGTAAATTATTATATAGAAATGTTAAAAAAACTAAAGGGGTTTTTACTAAATATTTATATAATTTTTTATGTATTAATATATTTAGTATAATCCCTCTGTTTATTATTACGTCTATATTGATATTTTCTTTTTCGTATATATTATATTGCAAACGTATATTTTATAACGTCGTAAAGAAAAAAATAAATTGATAACTTTGCAAACATGTTATAAAAGTTTTTTATAATATAATATATACGAACAGTATTTTTTTTTTATTTTTTTTTATTTTGAACAAAAATAACAAGTATTATTTGTAAGCACTTAAAAGTATATTACCACTAAAATTTATTAATAAGAAAAATAACAATAATAACAACTTAAAAAAAATATTCATAATTTTTTTATCATATAAAAAATATTGAAATTATTATTTATATTTTTCTTAACCTGCATAACCCGTATAAAAAGTTGTTATATATATAATTTCACAATTATATAAAAGTATATTTAGAAAATATATAAAACATAAGAAAGCCTTCCTCTATAAAGTCTCGTATATATCTTATTGTACAGTATATGCAATAAAAATAATCCTAAAACTTACTCGTGCCTTCATCGGAGCTTTCACTGGTGTTATTGAAATCATTAACTTCGTTTTCTTTAAAAGTAGGGTTCGATTCTTGTTGTGTTCTTGATAAATAATAAAAGTATTAAAAGTAATAATAATAATAATAATAATAATAATAATAATAATAATAATAATAATAATAATAATAATAATAATAATAATAATAATAAAACCTTGTTAACCGCAAGGGCGTTGGAGTTATGGTTATATTTTCAAAGGCAACATTGAGCTCCTTTGCCTTTTATTAGATTATTATTACTATTATTATTATTAATTATTATTATTATTACTTATTACTATTTTTATTATTACTACTATTATTAGTTTAACTTCACGAGTATAAACATGAAAAATAACACACCTGAACTGGTTTTATGTTACTTATATAGCGACGAACATCGTCCTTTATCCACTTGTAAAGCTCGACAGTCAGGCTAAACGCTATATTTATTATAAACAATAGTAGTTACAAATATAAATTCACCAAAAACATAAAACTTAAAATAATATTTTTAATAACAATAAAGTCCTTTTAAAAAAGTTAAAAAATATATAATATACAAGAAGTATAAAATTACGTTCAAAAGATAATATAACTATCACACACAGAGAGGCACGTGTTTGGAAATTAGTCCACGCGTTTATAAAAATACAGAATACCGGACCTTCCGCCCTGACGACTTTATCGTTGTGGCCAAAAAGTGATTCTAATTTTTCAAGCGCGGGTCGTACATTAACAACTTTAATGCCAAATTGTCTATAGATATTGAATTAGATTTTAAAAATGGAAGTGCAATATTTTCATTAAAAAAAGAAAAAATCAAAAGAAATACTGTTCCGCTTAGTAAAGTTGATATAAAATAATAGTGAAAAGGAATAAGGAAAAATTTTTATATTTAATAAAACCATTACAAAGTTAACTTATCAAAATATTAACTTATTTAAAAGAGATTTACACTATAAAATAGTTTAAACTCATTAACCAATTTTTTATTATATTTAATAATATTTTATATATTTAAAAGTTTAATAAACATATATAAAATTGTATCTTCATAATCTAATACACATTAGATAACAATATTTAAAAAAAAATTCCTAAGCTAATTAATTCCATAACCAAAAGTCTATAAAACATAAAAATAATTAAACGTACTCAACGCAAAGGCGGATAACCAAAACACACGCCGCAACGATTTTTGGTTGCTTAGAGGTAAATCCCTCCAGCAATTCTTCCTGATGCAGAGAAATTTGTTAAACTCAAAAAATGAAAAAAGTAGTAACTGCCGTAATATTTTTAAAAATAGCAGAAATAGTTTGGAGCTATTTATGATAAATTTTTTGTTAATTTTTAACAAAAAATTTAATATAAAATTGTTTATCATAAATTTATAAATATAAAGCGTTTTTAATAAAATTTTACTTATTAACCATAAAAATAAAGATTCGAAATTTTAAATTACTTTAAAGTCAATTATAATAATTTAAGTATGCTACTTGTTGAAGTCCACTTTATAAAAATATATTCTATTACAAAAAGCAAAAAAGAGACCATGCAAGATGCAGATTGTTCAATTTCTACAAAAAGTAAAAATAATTCTTGTGATAAGTCACGTGTCCTTTTTTTAGAACTTGTTAAGCACTTGATCACCACATTCTTTAAAACAGCGTTTGAAATCCTAAAGATTTATAATTTTCAATAATATCTTATAAAATTTAATATTAGTCGACCTCGTGGCACAAGCTGCTTTCTTAACAAATTCAAGGACACACTCTAAAGCTTTTTCTTGAACGCTCATATTCGTCTCTACAGCGAAGTCGGCCACAGAATCCACATATTCCATCCACTCCTTACTATTCGGATCTTCAACGCTAAAAGTAAAAAAATACTCTTTTTTAGTAGTAGTATTATTAATCACTGGCTCCAACCTTTTAAAGGATTCCAAAAGTTCTCCATAAGCGCTAACTTTGGCTCTCCAATTCTATATTAAAAATAATAAAATAATTTGATTAAACAATAATAAAAATTATGTTTTATTTCACTTGATGGACGAGCCTTTCTTTTAAAGGAATTATAGTAAAGTCTTCGTTAACAGCAGCCATTTTATAGGCATTAGAGATATTAAAAAGAAGTCAACTTAGTCAAGCGAACCCTCTAAGAAGATAAGCACGAGTAAAGAAAATTTGGCGGAAAAAAAAAGATGGTTATATACACCAACACAATGTTTATGCTTGCTCTAACAAAACGATTTTTTCAAAACTGTTTACCTATAACGTGTGCGGGCTCTACAGAGATATTTAAAATGATTAACTTTTTAATAAGTAATAAATTATGATACCACGCGAAACTTGTAGCTTTATTTTTAAACGAACCTGAAGAAGGAAATAACTGTAATATTATACCTAAATGTGGCTACACTGAGTAGTTATTTAGTCTTTAAAGCAAAATTGTGTTAATAATGTTGCTTGTGTTAACTACTTAACCACCAAATCAAGTACAATTCCAGTAGGCAACTCGTATTTATTTAACCACAAGTTTCTGTATAACCTAAGATATTTAACTTTTACGTCCTCATAAATAGTGGTATAAAACTTTTATAACTATTGTGTTGAACATCTTTTGCACTCCTTTAGAGGTATTAAAGTTATTTTAATTTAAGATGTACATTATACATGTAGCCTTTCTTTCCACCATTTAGGGGGTTTTAGCTATTATTGAATTAATTTTAAGGTTTCTTATCCAGTTCCAGTTATGCAACTAAGTTTCCTGTTCTGTTTCTTGATGTTATATATTTCCTCTATCCAGAAAACAACATAGTATGAGCTCGCCTGAGCCCGCCTCCTTACAAACCGATTTAATAAGTCATCCTAAATGGATTATCTATGCTTCTCTTTTCACAATTTCATTACCAATTTTTATTATTATCAAATAACCTTTCCTTAATAAAACTTTCTCTTAAGCTCTTTAGCAACTGAGGTTTCCTTACAACAAAAGCAAAATGGAGGCGTACAGCGCATTGTAACCTCGAGAATTACCGGTTCCCCGTTGTTTTGTCCACAACTAAACTTGATAATTTTTTTTAGCTTGCTCTCTACTATTTGTTTATAAAGTGGACCCCTCCGTTGAAGTTTTTATAACTAAGTTTACTCTATGTTCTACAGACTTGAGATCATTTTGTTAGTAAGTAGTGAATTCTCACTGGGACCTGTAGATATGAATTTATATGTTTAGCAGGTATTTTAAAAAAAATATATAAAATGGAGAAGCCGAGTACTCCGTTAATTTCGCCTGCCTCGCATACTCAGTCGGAGAGTCTTTCAATCCCTGTACTTTCAACTTCTTTGACAAATATTTCTGAATTTCCATCGTCTGTTCAAGAAAATATATTAATAGAGGAATTGCTTTATTGTTTACTGGTAAAGTTTTTATTATATTATAACAAGATTTTGATTTTAGTTTTTTTCACTTACCTAAAAAGGGGATCTACGATGGGCTAAAAATAAATTTTACCCGAAAAAAAACTTCTGAGGGGCTTATACGTCTCCGAATGGAGGACCAAGTCGGTTTGTGGATTATTTTAAAACACTAATTTAATTATAATTTTCTTTTCTCCAGAGCCCGTTTTACGCCAACTTGCCGAAAAAATAGCGCTTAGTGGTATTGTTCATCTTCTCTTTAAGCGTAGCAGTTTTTTTACTTTACTAAAGGCTTGTATTTCAGTCAAATAAGTTCTTTCGTGGAAAAGAGACAAGTTCGGGAAGCTGGTCTCATTAATCATTGCCTTTCTTCTTCTTTAAGAACAATTTTAAAGGTTTTATGCATTCTGCGTGATTTTTCTTTTATTTGGAAAATTTTACTTCTTTTCATTATAAATAAAACTCAATTTAATTTTATAAAGAGAATTGTGTAACAACCATCACAAATTTAGTTATTCCATTAAATCAAGCATTTATATTTATTCAATGTATTAAGCGTTTCGCCTTATTTCGCATTTCTTTTGGATTTAGGAACTAATATATTTTTGGGGTTTATTTTTTTTGGAATTTTCACAACTAATTTTTTATTTATAAATGCTTTTATCATTCTCTATAGGAATACTACTTATTTGTAGCTCAATTAGAAAATCAACACAAACAGGGAAGGCTCACCTTACAACTTCTTTGGTACCTACAAACATTAACTTAATTAACTTTTTCTAAAAACTAATCTTTTTTTAGAAAAATGATTTTTTTTAGGACTTTAATTATAAAATAAAATTACGTTAAAGTTTGTTAGAGTAAAATCTAGTGTTTAGTTTTCTTTTATTAAAAATATTATACATAATATTGAAAAAATATTTTATGATTTTTCTTGATTATAGTTTTTGATATTAATATCGTAAAATTAAAAGTTTATTTATTTATAGATTATTACTTTTTTTGATTTTAATTAATTCTTTATAGATTCTTAAAGTTTCTAAAGGTATTTATAAGTTTTTTTTTAAATTTTACTAAAAGTTATTACATGAAAAACTTATTATAAAAAGTCATCAAAAACTTATTATTTGTTCATAAAATTTAATTTCTTAATTTAAATCAAATAAAAAAATAGTATGTTCATTTCATCTTTAAACTTTTACCTTCTATATAAATCATTTGGGCTATGAAGTTGATTCTGTCATAAGAATATCAACTTTTTTTATTTATTTAATATTTATATATATTAATTCTTAAATTTGTTTTATTAATAAATTTTAATTGCCATCTTATTAACTTTCTTAAAATTAATTCCTCCCGATGTTGGTTATGTTAATTTCTAATTTTCATATTTTCTAATTTACTTTTCTTTTTTTTGTAGGTTTTACGTTGATAATAATATAAAAACTTTGGAATTGATTTCAAATCTTTTGTCACTAATCGGAAAACAAAAAGGCTTCATTTTTAAAATCCTCAGTTAATCTTTAAATCTTTAATCTTTTTTTGGCAGGCGCTGCTGTCATCACACTGCTTCACTCTAAATTAGATCGTTCTTTGAGGTTTATTATTAGAGCTACTTCTTTATATATTATAATAATTTATAGTTATTAGATTATTAGATTGAAATTTTTTTACTTTCATTATAATTTTATTTCTAATTCTGAATAAAATTTAGTGTAGATGATGATATCATTATATAACCTTATTAATATACTAAATTTAGCTTCAATAGCTTTGAAAAGTTTTCTTTTTATTTTAAAATTTTAAAGCAAAGGTCTCCTTAAAGCAAACAGTTTAGCTAAACATCGCTTTAGAAATATTTTTTAATTTATTTATATACTCTTGTTTTTAATTTTATTCATTAAACTTAATTTAGTTTATTTTGGTAAAAAAAGTTTAACTTTTTTTAATTTAATTTTTTTATAAAATTTATTAATTTATCTGTAAACGATTTAGGCAAGCATAATTTAATGTTTTTATTTTTGGTTATTTAAAGGGGCTATACAACATTTTTATCTTATAATTTATAATTTTGCGTGATAATTTACAAATATGGGAAGCTATATTACATATTAAGTTTTTTCTAAGATTAGATGAAATAAATAATCATCCGACCTTTAATTTTTTTCCAGTATTATATTTAAGTTTTATATAATTTCTCTTTTTATTTTTTAATAACAATTTAAAAAAGTTACTTTTTATTTTGTTCTACTCTTAAAAGCTATTTTTTTATCAGTTTTTTGAGGCGCTCGTAAGGTTTATATAAATAGATGAGCTCTGCTACACAGTTCTGTTTGAAGTGAAATTATTTTCTGTCTGTAAATTTTTTCATCTCTATCATATATTTAATTAAATTTTTTTAAAATTAATTATTATTTTTGCTATTAATTTTTAAAAAAAAAACTTTTTTTTATAAATTTCAAAGCTCTGCTTTACGGTTTTATTGGTGGTGAAAACAATTTCTGTACTTAAATATTTTCTCTTTATTATTATTGACCTTTTTTCAAATTTATATTTTAAACAAAATTTTTGGAATACTAATAATATTAATTTATATTACTATTAGTGTTGGCTCTGATTACGACTTGACACAATACTTAGCGGAGGCGGCCACTCGTCCTTTTTTGCAGATGCTGCAAGATTGGATTTATAAAGTTTTTTTAAAAATTATATAATCATTATTATTTCAAATAATTTTATACTTATATTCATTATGTTTATTATTACTTCGTATTTAATGTTATAATCAATTTATAATGTTTAGATTTTTTTACTGTTATCGATATAGACATAAACTTTTGTAGTATTTATCTTTTATTTATGATATTATAAAAAGGGAAAGTTTGAGGATCCCTACAACGAATTTATGATCTCTATGCAAACTTTCCACGTGGACCGTCTCGATTCAAGGTTTGTTGCTTTACTTATAAGTTTTGTGTGTGGCATTTTATCTCTTTTTTTAGACGTTGGAATAAAGATTTCGTATTGGATCTTGAAAAAGTTCCCCGATTTTTTACAGTGGACTCTGAAAAAGTATCTATAATAATTATTATTACTTTATATAAAGCCCCGAGCGGGCATGTGCTCTGGTTATTATTCAATGTCAACAACTTTACTCTATGTTTAAAATTTTATTTATGATAAACTTCAGTTTTATTTCTTTTTCTTTCTATTGTTATTACTTCCTTTTCTTCTATATGAAAATAGATTTTAAAAACAGGAAAGTATTTAAACGTTATTAAAGAGTGTAATAGAAAAGTTCAATTTTTAGATCCCAAAACTATTTCCTACTCCACGTCGTACTTTGCGTATGATATATAAGAATAATAATAATATTTTAATGCCATACATAATTATAGTAAGTAAATAAACATTCCCACATTAATTATTTTAAAGTTTTTTAACATTTAATTTTCGTTATTATATTTACTATTTTTTAAATTTTCATTATTATCTATAATAAAAGATATCGTTCTTACATTGAAGAAGCCTACAATTATGCAAGCAAAACTTTATTGAATGTTTTGCTTAAAGAAAAACATTTGCTTCTTCATTTTAGGTGAAAACTGTATTATTAATATTATAATTATAATTATAATTATTGTTATTGGTATTATTATTATTAATATTTCACTATTACTTTAAATATACAATTATTACGACAAGCCCCTCCTTTAGATTTAAAATTTATATTCATAATTTTTTTGGTTTAATAAATAAATATTTTGTTATACTTTTATTTCTTGTCAGAACTTTGAAGGGGTATTTCTTGCACGGCTCCAGTTTTTTTTTATCGGACTTTTTAGATTTGGCCGAAGACGAGCTAAGCCTAGCCGTTTCAGAAATATTAATTTCGAAACTGGGTTCGTAAATTTATTATTAACATTAATATTATCACTATCACTATTACTACATTTATTATTTAGAATTGTTTTTGGAAAGAGCTCTTCAAACAGAACGCACAGATTTATTTAAGCAGCAAATAAAGTTTTTTTAAAAAACTCATATATATTGAAAAATATAATATATATTGAAAATCTATTTCATACTAAACCTTTCTAAAATTTCTATATAGTATTATATTTGAACTTTCTTTTATATATATTTTATTTTGAATATATGAAGCTTATAAAAATATTAATTATTTGAAGTAAATAGCAGTGTTTAGTGAAGCAATAATAAAACTTTTTATATTTACGGTTATTAATAATTGCCTATAATAAAATAAAAAGCTGTAAAACGATAGTTTTATAAATATTTTACCTTTTTAATTATACAATAAATATTTATTTTTCAATATTTTTTGAAGTTTATAATATTTAAGAACTTTTACTTTACTTTATTCTACGATTAATATTAACAAACTCACTTCTATTTAAATTTTATAGTAATTAATATATATTATATACTTTTTATATTTTTGCTTATACAATTTACATAATTATTTTATAATAGTGATAAAAGTTTACTTTGCTACTGATATAAAATTTTTTTATAATTATCATTAAAATACAGTAATAATAACTTTTTTATTATGTTATTTAAGTTTTTAATAGAATTAAACCCTTCAATATTCTAATATATATTGTTTATTTAAAGTTGTTACGTCATGAATATATAAAGATTAATAATAATATTTTATTATATTGTTAAAAAGTTTTTACTATCTTTATTCTTATGAAGCCTGTATTTTTTTTATTTATTTATACTAAATAAAATATATTTTTTTTAACTTCAAGTGTTTACAAGTTTTTTGTTAATAGTAAATATTTATTATTATTTAATAAATTTTCTCTATAAATTTATATAACCTAATAAACTATTTTTTATTAACTTCTGTAAATTCTTTTTTTTTTTTTAAATTTAATATTATATTATTATCACTTTATATTCCTATTTACTTTATTTAAGGACTTTCTACTATTATAATATGCTTGTTATAATAATTTTTGTAAATTAATAATAATAAATAATATCTAATCAGATGTGCGTTTGCCCCCGTCGAACTTTTTACTGAACTTTTTAATATTTTGAAAATAGACGAAACTTCTATTATTAAAACTTTTCAGCCAGCAGAGAAGTTAGCTTCTACGGGTACTATAAAATTTATTTATCTATTGTATTGTATACACTTATAAATATAATGTTTAAGTAAATATTCAAAAATAAAAAAAATATATTATATATTTTTTATGGTGACCGTATAAAACCGTTACGAAAAAAGATAATTAAAAAAATATTAAGTGCAAACGGAATTACATAATAAAAAATTTTAGATTTGCATATGAAGTTACTTAATATTTTAAAAAAAAACTACTTTTTATCATTATATTTTTTTATTTATAAAATGTCTGTTACTTTTGATTTAGATTAACAAAAAATAATATAAAGAGTATTCTTTTCACTAAATCACATTTTTATATGAAGAAAAAGGAACTTGTCATAAAAATTCTATAGCTCTTTTTTCTTGTTTTATTATAAAAAACTAATAAATAAATAAATTTTTGAAAATTTTTACAGTTCTTACAAGTAATAATTTGATAAAAAACTATAACTATTAGCTTTTTTATACAAACTAATTAACAAATATCGTTCAAAACCTTGTTATCTTCTCTTTTATAAAAAATATACCAATATAAAGAAAATCAGGACTTTTTATATTGCTATACAAAACTAATAAAAAAATATTTTCTTAAAATCTAGTTTATATTTTATATATACAAAAATGCTTTATTGAACAAATTTTAATAGTTTCTATATTTTTATATACAATTAAAAAAATAAAACTTTTTATTTTTTATAAGAAACTAATAAAAAGTAGATATACTATAATACTAATGTAAAGTGTCAATATAACGTCATATTATTCATATTTCTTGTAGGCAACAACTTATTTTCGTTGGCTTATACACTTCCTTGGCCAATGCCGTTAGTTATCAGCAATCGTACGTTTCTTTATTACAATAACTTTTATTATAATTTTTATTTGCATCATCTTTTAAACTTATTATTATTATTATATATATTTAATGTTAATTTTTATATTGCAAATTAGTGGTTACGTTTATTAATAAATAATTATCATAAAGATTATTATGTTTAAACAGCGGATTTAAATAGGAAAAATATATATATTAATTATAATTTTTTTTTCTTTTTACTACTTTTACTTATTTTAAAATATTAATAGGAGTTTTGACAAAATATACTTTTCTCTTCCGCTACTTATTTTTTTTGATGGTTATTGGTAAGAACCAATTAATATAATATATTATTATTACTATTTTAATTATTATTTAGAACGCCGCTTATGTTGTTTATGGAAAGACTTTATACGTTCTTCAAAAGCTGTATGTTACCTTTTTAGTGTTTGCTTATATTATTTATATAGATATACTATTATTACCTACAATTTTTTTATGACACAACTAATATTTTCTGTAATATACATATCTATTTCTTAAAAAAATTTTAATAGACT